AGCACTTTAACCCCTGCGCCACCTGCAGGCCCCTTGTCTTTAATTTTTACCAATTTGGCTATAATGAGCTAGTGGGGAGCATATTTTTGTGTTGATTGTATCTGGGGTATTTTTAATATCTTGAATTTGAATTTCTCTGTGTCTGTCTATATTTGGAAAATTTTAGATAGTACTTCATGAAAGAGGTTTTTCATGCCTTTATTAGATTCTTTACCTGGAATACCCATCATATGGACATTTGGGTGTTTCATGGTGTCTAGAATTTCCCATATGCCGTCTTCATATATATATATACATATATATATATATGTATGTATGTATGTATATATATATATATATGTGTGTGTATGTGGCATGGTCCAATCTGCTGTCAGTGCTTTCTAGGGAGATTTTAATTTCTTATATTGTATTCTTCATTTCCAGAAGTTCTGTTTGATTCTTTTGTGGGGTGTCTATTTATTTACAAAATTCTTTCATGTCCTGAAGTCATTTTCTCATTTCTTAGAACTGATTGTTTTCTCTGGCATCTCATTGAGTTTTGTCACTATGAATATTCAGAATTATTTTTCTGACATTTCGTGTCTGTCTTTGTCTCCCCACTGTTGTTAAGGGGCTACTGTGCTCACCACAGGGAGAGTTACCAACTTGTTTTCTCATGTTTCTGTAAGATCTGTGTTGTTTTCTAGTCATCTCATACAGTATTCACTTTTTTGTATTTATTAGGGTAGATTCTGTAGTATCGGTAGAGTTAGTTTCACCCTAGTCCCCAGGTGTGTTCCTATTGAAGAGATCTGTGTCCCAGGTCAGAGCAGTTATGGATAACTTTAGGTGCTTGGTTCCTCTTCAAAATGTTCAGCTCTTGGTTAGGTGGTACCAAGCTAAGGAGATATAACTTAGTGAAGAGGATCAAGTCACATACTGCACAAAGCACAGGAGTGTTGAGTACTGCCTGAGCAGTGGTCAAAATAGTGGCAAAAGTTCCAAAGTTGGTCCCAGGTCCCAAGTGCAGACTCACCCAAGGAGACCTGCCTAGATTAGACTCAAGTCACCTGTGGGTGGGCGGGGTGAGCCCAGGCTGACAGAGCAATGGGCAACAGAGTGGCAGAAGTTACAGGATTGCTTCCACGTCTAGAGTTTGGATTCACTCAAGGAGGCCTGTCTAGACCACATTTAAGTCTCCCAGTGAGCCCAGGCTGCTCTAAGTGTCAGTTTTTTGTTTGTTTGCTTGCTTTAGAGAGAGCTTTTTGCTATAGTGCTGGTGTGCTTTATCGGAGAGATGGATAGAGACAGAAAGATAGAAAATGAGAAATCACCCCCCAGAGGGGATGGCCACACCACAATCCCTTCTCCATTCGCCTCTCAGGATTTTGGGCATGCATGTACACACGCCTGTCATGAGTTTTAAGCTGCCAGGTCCAGGACTCAAACCACAGGTGACTATGGGGGAGTCTAGCAATGTAATTGTTATATCATCTAGTGGTCCCTGTTTTTTTTTTTTTTTAGAGAGATTTTTTTGCTATGGCACACATGTGCTTGCCAGAGACAGAAAGCGAAAAATCACCCCCCAGGGGGAAGACCATGCCACAATCTGTTCTACTTCAGTTCCCTCTCAGTATCTTGGGCACACATACACACACACACACACACACACACACACACACACACACACACCTAGTATGATTTTAAGCCAGTGTGTCAAGGACTCAAACTGGTTGCCTACTTGGGAGATTAGTGATGTAACCATTATGCCATCAGTTGGTCTCTTAAGTGCCTTTTTTTTTTTTTAAAAAAACAAAAAAAAAAACAAACAAACAAACGAAAACAGGACCAGCAGTTGGTGTAATGGCTATGTTGCTATACTCCCATGTCGTTGACTGCAGTTGAAGTCCTGGACCCAGTGGCTTAAACTCAGGCTGGGCCCTTGTGCATGAGTGCCCAGGATTCAGAGAGGAGAATGGAGGAGAAAGAATTGCGGAGTGGCCATTCTCCCAGGGAGTGATTTCTTGCTTTCTTTCCTATAGCCAAAACCTCTTAAAACAAAACAAAACAAAACAAAACAAAACAAAACAAAATACATATTCACAGGACCAGCAGTTAGGGTAATGGTTTCATTGCTGGACTCTCATGTGCAAATCAAGTTTCAAGTCCCAGACCAAGCAACTTAAAATTCATACTGCGCAAATGTGTGTGTGTGCCCAAAAGCTTGAGAGGAGAATGGAGAAGGGATTTCATTCCCCCAGGAGTGATTTTTCTCTTTCTGTCTTTCTCTGTCTCTACAATGAGTACATGTGTGCAATAACAACAACAACAACAGCAAAACTCTCTTAAAAAAATAGTGAGTCTAGGACCAGCCATTGGCATAATGGCTGTGTCACTGGACTCTTAAGTAGTCGACCACAGTTTGAGTCTCTGACCCTGTGGTTTAAATGCATGCTGGGCGTGTTTGCGTGCATGCCCAAGATCTCGAAGGAGAATGGAGGAGAAGGGATTATGGCATGGCCATCCCCCTTGGGGGGTGATTTCTTGCTTTCTGTCTCCTTCTGTCTTTCTAGCAAGTGCACATGCCCTGTAGTAAAAATTTTTCAGAAAAAAAAAGTTCTGTCATGACAGGTAAGATCTAGTATTTTCAGGGATAAGAGAAATGAAGATGTTCTGCTGAGAAATCACCCTATAGAGGTAAAAAGGGCAGGCCTTTGGGAAAGAATACTGAGTCTACTATGAGAGCTGAGATCTAGTGCTTTCAGGGGTAAGAGAAATGAAGATGTTCTACTGAGAAACCACCCTGGTAGAGCCCCCCTCTATCCTTCTCGCTCTTTCTCTGTTTCTCTCTGTCTTTTCATTTTTTAAATTTTTCTTTATATAAATTTTTTTTAAGGAAAAATATTTTTTTGGAGAGGTTTTTGCTATAGGGCACGTGCTCTCGCCAGAGACAGAGAGAGAGAAAGTGAGAAATCACCCACCAGGATGGATGGTCACGTCACAATCCCTTTTCCTCCATTCTCCTCTCAGGATCATGGGCACACACGCCTGGCGTGAATTTAAGCCACTGGGTCCAGCACTTGAACCATGGTCGACTACTTGGGAGTCCAGCAACATAACCATTACGCCAACTGCTGGTCCCCTAGGAAAAGTATTTTCTTGGCTCTGAAATCCTCCTTTATTTTGGTAATTATCTCCTCTCCTTTCCTCCCTTCCATTTAGAAGCAAAAACAGGCCTTTAGAAAAGAAGAATGAATCTGCCATGAGAGCTGAGAGTGTGCCATGTGGTTTTCATTTTTGTTTTTTAGTATAAATATTTTTGTTTTTCTTTTTTTTCTTTATGTGTTTTCTTATCCGTTTTCTTTTTTCCTTTTTTCTTTTTTTTGAAGAGGTTTTTGCTATAGGACGCGTGCACTCCCCAGAAACGCAGAGAGAGACAGAGACAGAAAGCAAGAAATCAACCCCTGGAGGGATAGCCACACTGCAATCCCTTCTGTTCTCTTCTCCTGCGTGAGTTTAAGCCACCGGGTCTGGGACTCAAACCGCTGTCAGCTACAATAGGAGTCCAGCGACATAACCATTACACCAACTTCTGGTTCCTATCCTTTTTCTTTGACCTCATCATATTGCTTGCTGCTCAGCCTTTAGGCATTGAGTGTCTAGACAGGTCTAACTGAAACATAGCCAAGCATTTGAATATTATTAGATCAACATTTTCCTCAATTCACACTGAATCTGCAACACAAAGGGAGAAAAACAGAGTTTACATCTCCTCCTGTGCACCTCTGATTGCTCAGCTTGAACTTCTAGAAATTAGGAAGAAATGAATAACCCATCAGGTGACTAGAAATAACCACAGAGGCACAAGAAATGAGAAACTAAGAAAATATCTCTCCACCAAGGGAAAAGAATAACTCCTCTTCATCCACAGACAGTACAATGGAACTCATGGAAATGTCTGATAAATAATTTAGAAAACCCATAGAGACAAAACTAACAGAGATGGAAGAGAAGAGAGACAATGAACTCCAAAAGAAAAGAGCCAACAAGTTCCAGAAAGTGAAGTTCTTAATGAGAACTGAAAGAGGAAATATGCACTATAGAAAGAATCAAATGGAACTGTTTGGGATGAAAGTTATAATACAGGAAGTCAAAACCTCCCCTGAAAGCATTAAAAGCAGAACATATTATACAGAAAATCGAATCTCAGATCTAGAAAACAGAGTCGCTGGGCTAGTAAAACCCACCGTGAAGACGGAGAAAATAGCACCCCTAAATGAGAAAAATATATGAATAATACTAGATACCACCAAAAATGTCCAAACATCTGGATAATTGGTATCCCAGCAGGTAAAGAAACAAATAAGGGCATTGATAATCTATTCCATGAAATCCTGAAGGAAAACTTTCCAAACCTAGAGAGGCATTCAAAACTCCAGACCCAACAAATACAAAGGATACCAAATAAGATCAACCCAAGACGATCTTCTTCAAGACACATCATAGGCAGACTGACCCAAACCACAGACAAAGACAAGATACTGAGATTGGCAAGAGAGAAACATCAAGTTACCTGAAAAGGATATCCCATCAGGCTAACAGTGGAACTCTCATTGGAAACAATCTGAGCCAGGAGAAATTTTGTGAAACAATAAAATGGAATAAATAAAAAAGGAATGGAAAGCAACGGCAGATACCAGATACAGTGTGAGAGGAGGGTGAGAAATGGCATAGGGGGAAAATATACTCAGGAAATAAGAAATGGAAAATCATTTGTAGACAATAACATGATTAAGCCACTTTACAGTGTATTCTGGATGGGAAATCACATTTTGTATGCTGTGATGATGTTCAGTGAAAGAATTTTAAATAAATTTTAAGTTAAAATTATATTTACAAATATTTAAAAAATATATTTATATATATATATACATAATGTATTTTCAAATATGCCTATTTTATTTTCAGTATCTTTGTTTTCCTAATGCTATGCTAACCAACCTTTTTTACTGTTCTTATAGGTAGGGCAATTTCACATAAACTGCAAGAAATCCTACCCACACAACAGATCAGCAGGGAGAATACACCCATAGTCATGTCAACGGTAAGTCCATGCTTGTGTACCCTGGTCATCCAAATAGATACCTGACATTTGGGTATGTTAGAGATTCAGCACAATTGCCTGAGTGTAATTAAATCACTAAGCTTTTTATAAGCCAAATGTTTTAGATTGTTTGAATTTAGTAAAAACTAACATGAGGTGGGACCAGCACTTGGCATAATGGCTATGTTGCTGGACTCCCATGTAGTTGACCATGTTTCGAGTCCTGGACCCAGTGGCTTAAACTCATGCTGAGCATGTGTGCGTGTGTGCCCAAGATCCTGAGAGGAGAATGGAGGAGAAGGGATTGCGGCGTCGCCATCCCCTCTGGGGGATGATTTCTCGCTTTCTGTTGCTCTGTCTCTTTCTGTCTTTGTGGCATGCACACACCCCCTATAGCAAATACCTCTCCAAACGAGAAGAAAAAAAATAAGTAAAACTAACATGAGGTCAAATCCATAACCTGACATCTTTAAAACAATGGGCAATTGGATAAACATTGCTCATTTGCCTACTCTTTGCAATACTGAAATTTTCAAAATTAATCTGGTAGGGACCAGCAGTTAGCGTAATGGCTATGTTGCTGGACTCCCACATAGTTGACCGCGGTTCGCGTCCTGGAACCAGTGGCTTAAAACTCATGCCAGGTGTGTGTGCGTGCGTGCCCAAGATTCCAAGAGGAGACTGGAGGAGAAGGGATTGTGGCGTGGCCATCCCCCCTGGGGGGTGATTTCTCACTTTCTCTCTTTCTCTCTCTGTCTGTCTGGCGAGTGCACGTGCCCTATAGCAAAAACCTCTCCCCCTCAAAAAAAAAAAAATTAATCTGGTAGTCCATCAGTTGGGATGCTATGTAAGAGAAGTCTTTGGCTCAGAAAAAAGTAGCATACCATGTGTATGGAAGTAATCATGATTTTATTCTAAGTTACCAATGATTAATCTTATATTCATGTGTAGGAGAACTAGTGTGTGGATCTATGTGTGCAAATCAGTAACAACATTTTATCTTCTTCATGAAAACAGAAATCTACTCAAGAAAATCCATTTAAATGGAATGATATGGCAAAAAATGTCACTGAAAGCTCCGCATTGAGTCAAAATGTGTTCACGTACAGAGCAAAGAAGTCCTTTGTCAACCATCAGTGTGGAAACTCCTTTAATAACTATTTATATCTTAATCAATGCAAGAAAAATGAAACAAGTAAATCATGTAAGTGCCATCTGTGTGGGAATGCATTCAGGCAATCAGTTAATCTTAGACTACATGAGAGAGTACGCACTAGGAATAAGTCATATGAATGTCATATATGTGGGAAAACTTTCATATTGCCTCATTCCCTTAGAGCACATGAGAGAATGCACACTGGTGAGAGGCCTTATGAATGTCATCTATGTGGGAAAGCCTTCACTCGCTCTTCTTCTCTAAGAAATCATGAGAGAACACACATTGGAGATAGGCCATATGAATGTCATCTATGTGGTAAAGTCTTTCATCACTCTTCCTCCCTTACAAAACATGAGAGAAAACACACTGGAGAGAGGCCATATGAATGTCATCTGTGTGGGAAAGTCTTCTGTCAGTCATCTTCCCTTACGAAACATGAGAGAAAACACACTGGAGAGAGGCCATATGAATGTCACCTGTGTGGAAAAGCCTTCTATGATTCTTCTGGCCTTAGACAACATGAGAAAACGCACAGTGGAGAAAGGCCACATGAATGTCGTCTCTGTGAGAAAGCCTTCCGTTGCTCTTCTTCCCTTACGAGACATGAGAGAAAACACACTGGGGAAAGGCCATATGAATGTCATCTGTGTGGAAAAGCCTTCTATGACTCTTCGTGCCTTCGAGCACATGAGAGAATGCACACTGGAGAGAGACCATATAAATGTCATCGATGTGGGAAAGCCTTCACTTACACTTCTTCTCTAAGAAATCATGAGAGAACACACACTGGAGAGAGGCCACATGAATGTCATCTATGTGGGAAAACCTTCAGTTACTCTTCTTCGCTTAAGGTACATGAGAGAACACACACTGGAGAAAGGCCATATAAATGTTATCTATGTGGGAAGGCCTTTCTTTGTAACTCTCACCTTAAAAAACATAATCGAACTCACACTAGAGAGAAACCAATATGCTTGCCATCTGTATAAGAAGGCTTTTAGGAATTGTAATTCCCTTATACAACATGAGAAAACACTCAATAAAGAAAGGCCATATAAATGTCATCTGTGTGGGAAAGCATTTATTCAGAGCAGTAACCTTAAAAATCACAATCGAGTGGCTGGCAGGTGGTGTGGTTAAGGGCACTGGACTCTTCACATGGCCAGTTACAGTTCGAGAACCATACCTGGTGGCATGCTTTCTTTCTTTCCCTCTCTCTTGCTCTCCTGCTGTCCTTCTCTGGTCAAATTTAAATAAATAAAGTTGAATAAAATAATTATTTAAAAAATCAAGATCCAACTCACACTGGAGAGAAACCATATGCATGTCATCTGTGTGGGAAATCCTTTATTCAGAGTGGTAATATTATAAAAAAACAAATTGATCTCACTGAACAGAAACCACATATATGACATCTCTGTGGGAAAGCCTTTAGTACAGCTTCTAAATATAGACAGCATGAGAAAATGCATATTGGAAAAAAACTATACAAACGTCATCTGGGTGGGAAAGGCTTTAGCAGTTCTCCCCTTAGGCAACATGAGAAAACAGACACTGGAGAGAGACCATATGAATGTCATCTATGTGTGGAAGTCTTTATGCATACTCCCTACCTTATGAAACACGATCAAATGCACAGTGGAAAGAAATCTTATCAATGTCCTTTATGTAGCAAAGGCTCCTGCAGTTCTTTTTCCCTTAGACAACATGAGAGAGTGCACACTGAAGAGAGACCATATTGAATGTCATTTGTGTAGGAAAGACCACAAGTTAATTTAGTGAATAAGTAGGTTTAGCCAAGGCCATGTTGTAAAGATGTCTTCCCAGAGAAACAAGATGGTTTCCTGTAGCCAGTGTTTCTTCAAAAGGGTAAATTCCAGCATCCATTTTTATAAAGAGTTGAGAAGAAGACCACAGGAATATGGGGGTTGTAATAAAGAGAGTACATTGCTTAACATTTAAAAAATTTTTTTATATATTTGTTTTGATTTTCATGCCACTGGGTCCAAGACTTGAGCTTTGGTAGGCCATGTGGGAGTCCAGTGCCTTAACCAACATGCCACCTGCTGGCCCTTTGGTTAATATTTTCTTTTTTCTTCCTTTCTTTCCTTCTTTCTTTCTCTCTTTTTTTTTTTTTTTTTTGGAGAGGTTTTTGTTATAGGACATGTGTGCTCACCAGAAAGACAGAGAGACAGAAAGCTAGAAACCAACCCCCAGGGGGAATGGCCACACCGCAATCCCTTCTCCTCTCAGGACCTTGGGGATGCACACATGTGCCCAGCGTTAGTTTAAGCCACTGGGTCTGGGACTTGAACTTCGGTCAACTACATGGCAGTCCGGTGATGTAGCCATTATGCTATCTGCAGGTCCCCCTTTGGTTAAAATTTTCAACATGAGCTTAGCTGTAGAACTTTTTCACAAGTTAAGTCTCCCAGAAAACCAACAGTTTCTCAAACAGTGTAAGTTCCCTGAATGACCAGAGCTTAAAACATCTTAAGAAAGTGTTATCAGTAAATTTATAGGTTAGCCTGTGTCAGGTGCCCAGGTAAAGTTGCTTGTATATCGTTCAAGGTAACAGTGTACCTCTCAGGGCCTAGTCATTTTGAAATGTCATACAATTTTTTCCCCTGTGATCTCTCTCTTTTTTTAAAAAAATTTATTATTTATTTTATTTTACATTTAAATATATTCAGTCACATTATTTAGTTTATCATTTCAGTATAAGAACATTTCTCCCCGGTGAGTTGATAAAAATATAACAACACTCCCTCCCTGTCTCAACAATGCTGTCTTTGTATCCCTCCTACAAATGTTCTTCCCCAGGCCCCACTCCTCCACACACACACCACATCCACCTCTTGTGTTTGTACATTCTTTAGCCCATCAGTTTCAGTTATAGAGTGTGGACACTTGGTATATATTAAGTGGGGAACATACAATGTCTCTCCTTCATGGCCTGGCTTGCTTCACTTAGCAGTAAATCTTCCATATTCTCTTTTACAGTCCCATCAGAAATTCTATTTCTCCTCCGACCTGTCAGAGTTGTTACTGTAAGACTTTCTAGTTTTCCCTCAACTGGAGGGTATAAAATGGTGTTTCATAGTGTTTTGGCTACCCATTCTCATGATTATTAGTGAGGCTGAGAGCATGTTTTCATATATTTATTGATTATTCAATGTTCATTTTTTAAAAAAAGTTCTGTTTGAGATTTTTGCTTGCTTTTCTCTCGCACAATGGTTCTCCACAGTGGTTGGACTAATTTACATTTCCGCCAGCAGTATAAGAGAGTTCCCCTTTCACCACATCTGGGCCAACATTTATCATTTGTTTTTTTTTTAATCTTCGCCATTCTGACTGGGGTTAGGTGGTATCTCGTTTTGATCTGCATTTCCCTTACAATGAGGGATGTTGAGCATTTTTTCATATGCCTTCTGGCTATTCATATGTCATCTTTATTGAGTGTTCTTTTCAACTCCTCCCATCTTTTAATAGGGCTCATCATCTTTTTTCCAAACAGCTTCTTTAGTTCCTTATGTATTCTGGTTATCAATCCCTTATCTGATGCATAGTTTACAAAAATATTTTCCCATTCTGAGGGTTTTCGATTCACACTAATTACTGTGTCTTTTGCCATGCAGAAACTTCTTAGTCTGATGTAATCCCACTTGTCTATTTTGGGGATTATCGACTGTGCTTTGGGGGTCTTATGTAAGAAGTCTTTCCCCACTCCAATGTCTCCCAGAGTTTCCCCAGTGTTTTCTAGAAGCAGTTTAATAGTTTGGGGTCTTAGAGTTAGATCCTTGATCCACCTTGACTTGATTTTTGTCAAAGGTGACAGGTAGGGGTTAAGATTCATTTTTCTACAGGTGGAAATTCAGTTTTTCCAGCACCATTTGCTGAAGAGGTTTTCCTTTTCCCACTGGATCGACTGGGT